CGCGAAGCTGAGACATGTAGGAAACAGCGTCGCGTTGATTTGAGGGCAGCCGCACATAACATACGTAATATATAATGTACCGGATATTGAGATGAATCTTGGAGTCGTGGCAAGTACGAGAGCAAGCCAAGGGGCCAATAAACCAGCTGCGGACCGCGCAGTCTTGAAAGCCGCACTCTCGCCGTGAGGAATTCCGAAAGTCTAATTTCGGACGAGATAGATATTGGCTTACATGCACTTCTGAGGATTCTGCCCGCGGACCTCCCCTGGCCTGCCTCCGTCCTCTCCGTGCTCATTGCTCCCCTATTCTCTATCTCTCTTTCTTTCTCATCCTCGGGGAACATCACATGCGCCAGATCTCCCTTCATACTCGGGTTACAACCAAGAAGGAAACGAGTTCCCGCGTATTTCTGGCGTCGAAATGCCTGACACTCTCCCGGCGCACACCGGTGTATTGCATTTCTCCACGCCGCTCTCACTTTCACGCCCGTGACGAATTTTTCGCGACGCGAATCGAATCGAGTAGATTACAGCTGCATGACGGCACAGCGATTGCCCGCGATCAACCATTTTTATTCTTATTACGTTATGATTACGTATATTAAAAACGTGACAAGTTTATTTGGAAATTCCGGTCAGATAAAAGCGCGTCCTTGTCGAAATTAACGAATTTTCGAATAGCTCCATTCGTTAATTTGGAAAAAAAATGTAACAAATTTTGTAGATTTTTTTTTTTGCAGGATATATATAATACTTTTACGCATGTAAATATATTTATATCACTGCAGTGTCGTAACTTATACATACGTACACATAAAAATGTATATAAGCTCCGAAATATCTTTGAGAAATATCGAGCGCATTAGCGCATGCGATATTTTACACGCTTTGAACATTTGTTACATAGGTTCCCGTTTTACTATGAGATTAAAATCATCCTGGTGCTGTGGCTGCTAAGCCCGGCTACTAAGGGCTCCAGTATCCTTTATCGGCGCTTCGTGCATCCCGCGCTAATCCGTCGTGAAGCCGAGATCGACGAAGCCCTAGCACGTGCGACCGAGCAAGGTTATACGGCGGTGCTGCATCTCGGTACCAAGGGCGTGAACTATGCCACCACGGTTCTCATGCAGACTGCCATCAAGGTAAGGCTCTACGTGGTCCAAATTATCAGGAAGTGTATCGTCATTGTACAAAAAGTGCCTCGGAATTATTCCTTTCGCCTGGAGATTCTTCGATCAAATCGATCTCGAAGAATCCGCGAATGAAAGATGGAATGTCAAGCTGGGACACTGTGTTTGTAGAAATAGCAAAAGGAACTGGCTGCTTCGACGAGAATCGCGCTGCTTTGGAAAATTTTTTTCTATCATATTTATGATACAAATGTAATAATATAAATGTAATTCATTATTTATTTCTTACATAAAATTGCAATTTTGCCTCTCGCAAGAGGCTGCCAGTGTCCAGGAATGCCTTATGTCGTTTGATCTTGTACTTCAGCTAGCCTGAGCTCTCGCTTTCATTGACCACGCATAGAACATCTATCGAACTTCTCCTCGATTGCCGCTCACTAATGATTTTATGTGTTCTTGATTTTTTCTGTTTTCGTTCTGTCCCATCCGCGTTCCCGCACGTCATCGCCCTCTCTCACCACTGCATCGCCGTCTTACCGTCTAATCAAACCTGAAAAAAAAAAAAACCAAAAAAAAAAAAACAAAAAATCGCCATCATCGCCATCCGCAAAACCACGCACGGCAAATACCGAACACTTAACCACCGCTCGACCATCGCCCTAACCGCTGCCGTTGCTTAAGAAATTTGTCTACACCGAATCATCGTCAACCACACGACGAAATTCTGCCACTGACCCGTAACAACAACCACCAACACGAACACGCCGAATTGCTGGCCGATTGAAACGCAAAAAAATTATATATAAATAAAAAAAAATTGAACAAAATTACGGCATCACATGATAGAATCTCCCGATTGTATTCCCGACCACGACGAGTGCACTCCCTGATCGTCAATTAGACCCGGCGATTTCTAGCTTAGCCAGCCTCAGACCGACAGCGCGGTTAAACAGCCAGCTAGACGGGCCGGATTATCCGGACGACAGCGCGGTCTACAGTCGTCATCTGCATGCTAGGTCCGATGATCTGGTGATAGGCGATACGGACGCGATTCTCGGCTGGCAGTACCGCGACTCGACAACGGACGACGATGAGATGCTGATACAGGATCTGCCAATGACGGACACGGAGAGCGATCATCTGGAGGAACAAAAACCGGTGGAGTTCAAGGTGCCCGAGAAGGAAGCCCCACGGAAAACGCGAAAGTCTAGGAAGGAGCGCAGCACCGCTACCAAAGTCACCAGGCGACAGAAGATTCGCGCCTGCAAGTCGACCACGAAGAATTACGATTTGGAGTTTAGCGACGATGCTGGCGTCAATTAACTAAGATTAGAAAAATGAAAAGAAGAAGATGACTTGATACGTAGACGGTGGAAAAAACGGGGATAAACCACCGGAAATCTGGCAAAGCAGAAAAAGAGTCAAGATTATTGGAAAGTGTTGACGATTTTTATCGAAGGCTCGAATGATTTGTATCTGATGTATTATTACGAGCGATAAAAGACTTTCTTACGCGCAAAAGAAAGCACTCTGAGGATCGATGACAATTTTTTTTATATATTATACACTCACTTTGATACTTTTCTTTCATGCAATCTATTACGAGTTTGCTTTTTGCGTTTCTGTTTTTATGGGAATACGCGAGGCGAAATTTTCTGTTCGCGGATTCACGACAAATTTTCATTTAGTGATACATGTAATCTTTTGTCTGTGTTGCTTTCGTGAGTATAAAAATTACACTATGTGTGATTGTTTAACTATGGATAAAATATACTTTAGCGACGGTAAGGTTGTTTAATACACTGATAGGTATTTAATGCACTAATAGATAAAAGACTTTTTGTACAATCTTGTATCTCTATTTTTTTAGAAAGACACGAAAATTTTGAAGAGCTTTAATCGTTACATGACTATAGTGGAGAACTTTTAATCATGTACACATTTTCGACCAAGATAGGACTTGTTAATCGTTTCCACTCGTGTGCCTTACTTCGATTTGTATAATTATTCCACGTAAACTTCGTTCAATTCTAAGATTTCTATGGATTACGTACGTCTTAGCTGGAAAATATAAAATAGCTTTAGAAGCAATCTCAATATTTTTACGTAATATTCCACACATTGCCTTGACGTTAATACCAATTATGTCAAAGCGTGCGGTCAAGACGTTCAGTTTAAGAACGATAATCAAAAATCGTTGACATCAAAATATATCCAAGAAAAAATCCGAAAAATATTAATTAAAAATTCTGTGTAATTAACTATCAACAATTACATCTTTTTTTTCTATTATGTTTTTATCTCGTAATTTTTAAATAAGTTTCATGATGTGATTAGGACAATCAACCATCACGATGAACACTGACTTTGATTAACTCTAAGACTACACATCTTTTTTGAAACTACATGTGAGTTTCTCAAATCTAGTTGAGTATTTTTATATATATAAATGTATATTTTTATATATATATGTAAATGTATATTTTTTAATAAATTTTTTTCGATGCGAATGCTAAACATTGTAAATCAATCAATTATAAAATAAAAATTCAAATCGGCTTACTAAATTATAAAATAAAAGTGATTTGAAATTTTAGTCGGTTTTCAAAAACTGACGTTTTGTAGTCTTAGAGTTAGATCGATTTATGACCAAGTCTTTTTCCGACTTCGTCATAAGTAGGATTGTTATCTACGTAAAGACAACGAATCTTTAACTTAGATTAACTCGATCGAAGTCATTGAAACTGAGACTTCAAGCATCTGTTTTATGCTGCATGCTCGACAAGTCATGTATTCTACAAATTGCGTTTCGGGAGGAGGAACTCAGAAAAAGAAGTTGTTAATACGAGAATTGAGAATGCATACAACGAGATGGACGATCACGCGCTCGCGTAATCGTCATCGTCATCATCATCATCATCATTATCATCATCATCATCATTGTTGTCATAGCTAGTATTATTCACGTGTTTGTGTATTCGTCATCTCGTTTGCGCATTTCATCTACGAAGTTACCAAAAAAAAGATTTCTTAGATCGCGCGCACACGGAAAAATCAATAAAATTAATCTCTCATCGACTATTGTGATCAACAATTGTTGGATGTGTCCTACTGTATCAACGCCGATAAAATATCCGTTGCTACTTGTTCGACGTCACTCGTTTATGGAGACGCATAGACGGAAAAAGACGCGTGTGTTATTTGACGTATGAAAGAGAGAGCATTTTTGTACGTAATTCACGTTACAAATATACTAAGAAAAATATACTAAATCTTAATACATGCTTTTTTAAATAGTACTGACTCAATATTTACTTGTGTGTGTGCGTGTGTGTGTGTGTGTGTGTGTGTGTGTGTGTGTGCGTGCGTGATAAATATAAACATTAATTCCAATAAAAATTGATGATTATATCAAATTCTTGTAAATATATGTTTACATATTTAGTAAATATTCAATTAGTACTAATCAAATTCGAAATATTAAAATTTAGCACATTTTTTCAGCGTGTACGTTATCGATTATTCTTCTAGAGGATGCTTTAATTGTACATGTACAACTATACGTTATAGTTCCGAATGAACTATCAGGGATTAATTTACGCGAAAAAAAAACATGCAGGTCAGTTTTGGTCTTTGCGGCAACAAAGACAATTTCTGGCCATGTAAACCCGATGCCTTGTCACATGTAATTTTCCGTGTGCGAGCGCTTAGCATCGAGCTGTACTAGCGAATAAGATTTTTGTAACCCAAAGACTCTGATTATTACTGATGAGCTGATTCCTTTCTTTTCAAATAAAAGTATTATTTGGATGAGCTTTTGATCCTCTGTTTTTGTTCGTTCATTTCTCCGCAACGACCGCGTCCTGTCTTACATCACCTCCCGCTGTATCCCGAACAGCGATTTTCATTCCAGGCATTTAATTCTCGCACCAGCAGCGCATTCTTTCCAAAAATATAAGTTCACATTCAATTAATAGAACTAATCGCTAGACGACGCGCTATATTAGACGCGATATTACTCACGCATATTGCACGCATTTATCATATTATCATCGGCCGTCGCGTGCTTCTGGATGGAGCATGTTTAACAGAAAGACACGTTATACGTCCGGGAAAAGCAAGAAATCGCCTTTGGATTGATCTAAATTCGGCGTAAGGGGAGTTTGCCTTCCGTGACCGGGTGACGGCAGATAACACATTAACATCCTCTTTTGGTTGGTAAGATTTTTATTTTGTTTTCTTTTACTTAATCGACTCTGAGTTTTTCTCTCGATAACTTAATTCTTTTTTTTTTTTTCATCTTTTTTTTTTTCTCGCAGTAACATACTGTTCGCATTATTTACGACGCATGTGTTTCATAGGCGGCTTTCTTTTCCAGGGCGGCGGTGGGCTGGTGCAACAATTGAGGAAAAGTTACAGCCTCAGTGATCTAACCGGCGAGAAGGAGGACGAAAATAGGAACACACCCGATGCGCGTGACGAAATAGATATGGAAGGTAGCTGATCTCTCGCGTCGTGTTCATTAAATGGAGATTTTGCAAAAATAAAAGCAAATATTTTGAGCGCGAGCAAATATTTCTTTTTTATATTTTTACGGATTTATATGTTTATTTTTAATATAATTATGTATTATACTTTATAAATATGCAATTTTATACATGTTGTTTTACATAAATTTTTAAAAATATTTAAATAATCTTCGAATATATAAAACAAAACGCGCTTACCGCTTAGTGACTCAATTTTAAGTAAATAAAATATTTCTGGTTTCTTACAGTGGAGCCTCGTCGAAGAGAGAACATTGGCAGAAGAGGCTATAGTCCTCGCAGGACCCAGTCCAGCAGCAATGCGTCTCGAGTAGAAATGTATTTTTCCGAAGTGGATGTCGATGTTCGACAGCCAAGGCCTAGGGAGCCTATAGCTAGTTTAACGTACGTAGTACGTTCCCGCAGCTTTCGAGAACAATCGCATTAACGTTAGGCGGCCGATAATAACAAATCTTTTCATATTTATAGAAATATAAGGTCCTCGGACGACATATCTAGCGGTTACAGTAGCGGCGAGGCGTTGCAATCCCAACGAACGACTTCTCAGGGTGACTCTTTAGTGAGAACATCAAGCGTCGGTGCGAGAACACGCGTGAAGCCACGTTCTACCGCGAAGAAGACGCCTGAAGTAAGCCCGAGTAGCATAGAGACTAATAATCGTGTACACACCTATCATTAACAAAAAAAAAAAAGAAATTACACATCGCTCTTTCACGCACATTCGTCAACTCAGTTAATAACACGTACTTTTTTATGGTCTTTGAAGGACAGGGGCGAGGATTTCGACCGCACACCTTTCGAAAATGTCTCCCTACCATCGTCCCTAAACGTCCTGACTCCTGAACAAGCTGTCGAGCTTTTACTGTTATTATCTCAAAGTAATAAATCGGTAAACCGTCCGACATCGATTACAGCTTATATCGATAACGATAAATCCGCAAACGAAAACAAATCCGCAACGAAAATAGAAGATAATGAATCGTCACCGATGGAATCGAGCGGCGAATTCGTTGACACAGACTCGGCTCAAATAGACGTGCAAACAGTGCAAACCATAGAGATCAAGAATATCTCGATGGAAAACTTGTCAATACCTGCGGTAACAAAAAGCGCAGACAAAATAAATATCGATTGTTCGATAAAGGAATCTGATTCTCAGCAAAGCGATTCTAACACGCAAATTGCATATATTGATGAACCGAAAAGTAATCAAGAAGTAGTTTCAACTGTTTCCCAAAAGCCTGATACAGAAACTGGTCTTGAACGAATAACCGGCGAGATATGTCAGCAAAAATTCAACGAGTTGAAGCAATTATTAGATGATGCGCACAAAGCTGTAACAAGAATCGTATCTTCCCAAGAAAAGTTGAATACGATCGACCAAGGTAAGGAACATATACGGGAAATTAGGACTGACGATTCGTTGAGTACTTGTGCTTGCGATTATACTGCGGTTCAATCTTCCATTACGCCAAGTACATCGAATTGCGATCTTGACGGCGATACTCGTGCAGGAAAATATCATAAAAAGCCCGCTCCGAAAGCTCCGACAAATGACGAGGTAATAAGTAATGAAGACATTGACGAAAACGAGTCTCAAAATGCTTTGAAGGCCACTTTGGTCATTAAAACTGGTACATTGAGAACTGTTTCAAACGCGGATGCTACGAAAGATATATTCTTAGCACATACCCCGGACACGAAAAAAAGAAAGAAGAAATCTAATAGATTACGCGCTAAGGAGAGCTTTTCCAAATTATTGACAATCCCGAAGAACATCTTTCACAACGCTTTCCACAAGGAACAAAATGAAGCTTCCGCTAAAGAGGAAGATTCCAGTTCCTCGTATTCTGGGACCAGTGGATCCGCATCGAGATCGAGTAGTATCGGATCCCAGGCGTTTGTAGATACATCCTCAAAATTATCTGTTTTAAAACAAGAAGTGGACGTAGAAGAGATTCCACTGAGACCGAAGCGCGATGATAACATTAAAAATTTCGACAAAGATAACACTTTCGCTGATAATTTGGATACTAAGCCCTTAAATGAAATTAAAGATTTTAAAATTGAAGATAATAAGAAAAAAGAATGTGCAATGAATACAGAAAAATCCGAAAATTATGAAGAGAATATTGAAAATGAATCGAACTCACAGATTCGTGATATGCCACAGCCTTATAACAACAGAAAAGAGATTATCACTGACATTAATTAAACGCATTTCATTAATGTCGCATATTTCATAGAGAAATTATGTTAGCTGTACTAAATAATTACATATACTTGTTTTGTCTTTGATGTTTTTAAAATATGATAAAAGCTTGTTCGTTCTCTCTATCCCAGTTTTTTCCCATATTTCGTATTTTATCCTAATAGGAAATTCGGCCAGAAGAGATGGACTGTTTCATTAAGATCGTATGGACTAGTTTCTGATTTCTGAGTCTTGTTAATCTACAATTAACTGCAATTTCTTTTTTAATCATAACACATAACACTTAACTGCGCGTTTTAGTCTTGCATGATATTAATGTTTAATGTGGCATTATAATGTAATTAATCCATAATTTTTTTAATTACAAGAGTGAATGGTTTGTTCATTTCAAATAAGGGATTTTTATATTTGAACTTATAAGTAATTTTATAAATAATTGGTTGAGTTTTAGTCTAAACTTTTCAAAGAAGATGATCTTGCTCTTTATTTTTTTATCACTTATAAATTTCATCAAAACCATAAAAAATGGCGAGAGATTAGTAACATGTCCAAATTCTAGTAGTAAAAATATAAGTTATAATAACATCATATCTTTATTTCAGATAACGAGTTTTGCTACCTTACCTCGCAGTAAGAAGACCAGTAAGAAAAAAGTGGCATGAAACCTTCCTGCTGCTGACCGCATTAAGGAGTAAGACCAAGTCCCTTGTAAAGGCAAATAAAAGTATCTTCATCGGTGTGCGGATCAAATATTTGCACCAGCCAATAACGGATACACTAATAGGTCAGCAGCGAATATCGATTAGCCAAAACACGCAATGTATACAATTGAATGTTTCTAGCACCGGTATTTCTTAATTCAGCTTTTTGACTATTCATTTAACTTATCGAGCGTTAGTTTTATCAGTCAAAAAAGAGAGAATCCTGTCTTTTCTCCCATTTATTCGAAAGAAATTGCTGGATATGGGCCAGGGTTATAAAAGAAATTCCAGGGAATGGAAGTAACTCGTTACTTGTAACAAAGTTACAGTTACGAGTTACTTTTTTAGTAATTTTACTGATAACTGCGTTACTTTTTTTTCTTTGATAACTGTAACGGTAACGAAGTTACATTTTATTGGTAACAGTAATGAATTTTACAGCTACTTTTATCGTCATTTTGCACGCGATTGGGCACGAGTCACCCATAGCGCTTGAGATTAGAAATCCTCTACAGGCCCATCCGCTGTGATTGGTGGTCGTCGATTTTAAAAAAGTAACGAAAAAGTAACGAAAAGTTACGGTACTGAACTCCGGTTACTTTTAAAAATCGGCAACTTATTACTTTTTCTCAATAATGAGTAATTGTAATTTGTTTACTTTTAAAAAGTAACTTTTCATTTTCCCTGGAAAATTCTGATAGCTTTGTTATCCTTTGGAAAAAAGAAACATAAATAATGTTTATATATATATATACTGAACTCCGATCACGTCGGATCACGTTGCACCGTTGCTCACCGTCATCCGACATGTTGTTACATGATACAATAATTTCCCGTATGTATCTTAAGCTCTCGCGAGAGAGTCTAGCTTTTATATGCTAACATTTGGTAGTGCTGTCGTAGGTAGGGAGGATTCGATACATATTGCATGCAGTATATCTGCTTACGAATAGGCTTTGATTATAACAAAACTTGCCACAAATCGCGACGTAGTCGAGAATGGAGTAGAAAAAGAAATCCGCTATCTAAATCAGGGATTTCGACGCTTGATTCTCAACGCGTAGGCAATCGCCGCGAACAATAAGGGAATTCTCTACGAACCAGCGACTGTGAAATCACCACGAAATGACTTTGATATTGCGAATGCTATTATAATCGAACAAATCGAATTCTAGTCAGTCAGGAAGATGAGTAGGAACTCAGACCACATTGAAATAGTGCCACACGATTGCCCGTATATAATTCTCTTTTCACTACCAAATAGTAATTGTTTGATAGACTGTCTAATTACGATTATGTATGCGTATATCGCAAAGTATTGTGTGGACTTAATCGAATAGCTGTTTTCCCTCGCACGGAATCTGAAGAGAAAATCGCGCGAATTTCTTTTAAAAAAATAAAAGGAACTCTACTTGCGTAAGGTGCAACGATTTGTCTATTAATCCGCGGCAAATTGTTAAGAGTATTGTTGAGAGAGAAATGTGCGAGATCACTTTCAGTTTTTGCACGCTTGCAATTCGAAGACGAAGTATTAGCGATGTACTTTAATAGCCAGTTTTTTTATTTTATGATTGTATTCTTCATATCATTTTATTGCTAATTTAGAATGTACCCTGCTTGTATAATTCACGCTTGTATAATTCATGAATTTTAAGTATTTATCGTGCATAATTATAATTACATTTATATTTCGGTATGATCCTTTCATCAGAGCGAACGATTCTACATCGTATGCTCATGAAAAATTTACGAACAAGTCCTATGACTTTCAAATGTATTGTGTCTACGTGTTAATGGATTCGTATATAATTTATCGTGCTATATTTTAACGTTCATTGCATATCTTAGGCAAAATTAACATATTATGTATAATTAACATAAATTTAGAAACAAGAAAAACGTGGAAAATGGTGTCGTACACTCGACGAGTGAAATATTCGATATGTTAACAATTGTTGATTTTGTGTGTATATAAGTTTGACGCAAAGTTCATGATATTATCGGAGAAGAAAAATGTAGCAAATGCTTTTATACACTTCGTGCTGTATAAATTATGTATAAATAAAATCTACGATAAAATATGAAGTATATAAATACGGATCTTTATGCAAAATAGATATTTTTATCTAATCCAGATGTGCAATATTCGCACGAAATATGCATTTGCTGCATTTTATCTGCGTCTTTATAACACGACTCGTTGAAAGACGTTAATACGTATTTGTCTCGAACTTTATAAATACATATACGAGAATATATGTGATAAGAGAGTGAGTGAAAGAGTAAGAGAAAATGCTCAACTATGAATCTCTACCGATATTAAATGATCGGTTTCCTAATAGATCTTATATATAAAGACATCTCTCGTTCTTTGTAAGTATTCAACGCCTCTGGCGCATAAATTATGCTCAGAGTTCTTATGGTGCTGCGATCTTTGTAATTTGTTTTATAGTTCTGTACGTCGATATACGAGAAAAAGAATCGAAAATAAGTTTGGAACAAAGTCATTCTGTGTTCGAGTTACTCAGATAATCACCGACGCAGAGTGAAATTGGTTAACAGTAGTTCAGGCATAGTATAGCGAATAAATGACATTAAAGTACGATACCTGATGAATGCTCGCACTTGTCCTGATCAGAGAATATTATATAGCCATGTTTAAGTTAAGCCTGAGTTTTCATCTAATGAAACTCAAATCTTTTAAACAATCTCTTTTTATTCATAAAATATAGATCTTGCAATAAATGTAAAGTGTGTGTTAAATGAAAAGACAAAACTTAATAAGAATGC